CGTAGTCAACTTGTGTTTGGATGACCACCGAAAGGCCCTTGTGGCTATCAAACGATAATGACCGTGCAATGGATGTAGTCAACTGGTTGCCAAATACCGACTACAGTTTGGGGCACCCCGTACTTACTCCTAATGGCTGGGATCGAGAGGGAGAAGGGAAAACAAAATCAACTGTTTTGTGCCAGAAGAAAGGCCTGGAGAGGACAGGCAGGGAGATACAATTATACAAAAGAGGAGAAGGATACATTTGTATTGATAATGAAGAAATGCTGAGTGGTTCAAACTTGCTTCGATGTTTTGCCAACGGCAGAGAAATAAAAGTGAAGAAAGCAGGTAAGCCTGGATGTAAATATTCAATTCCAATAACTGTGCAGGGTTATTATCAGTGTCAACAGTGGGTGACAATGCCTTTCTATTTAGTGAAATCAAAATCATTATTGCATCGTAAGAAAAAGAATTTAACATTTGCTGTACGTATGTCAGAAAAAAGACCATACATTCCTGCAATACATGACAATACATTTAGAAATTCGTCACAGCAGGAAAAGGGTTTTGATATTTGTTCTGCTGAATTTGTTAAAAGGTTCGAAGAAGTTTATGCGAACAATGGCTTTGCTGCCATGAAAACATTCATAGACAACTACAATAATTTCCCTGGGAAGCAGAATAGTGAAATAATGTACAATTTTCATCTCAATTTGCAATTCCCAGGCAAGGAGGAAAATGAACAGAAGGTCCTCCAGTTATTTGATTTGTTAGGGAGCACTTCTGAGCTCACTTCTGGCTGTGTAATAAGAAGTGTCAGGAGTACCACAAAATGCTTCAGCGAAACTACAGTTGACAGTGGCATTGAAGAGAGGAACCTAACTTGGCCAAGCACAGCCGGTGGCATTATTGCTCTGCCGAAGGAGCTCTGCATCACCGAAGAAGGCGAACCTGTGACGCGGGAGTGCCTCGGAAGCTTCCTCACTGGGTATTACTGGGGGTCTCCTTCCAGCAGCTGCATGGGAGAACCGACGAACAAGACGAAGCAGCTCTGGGAAATCAACAACAACGCAACTGTTGAGAAAGCAGACATTCCCACGACTTTGTCCAGCATCACTCAGAATGGCTCTACTCTTCAGCCGGTCGACATTCATTTTGTTGCTACAAGCTTCAAGACTTTGTCAGAAGAGACCGAAAAACTGGATGAACTTGACCTAGAAGAAATTGTACAGACTATTAATAACGTGATGGAAGCTAAAGATGAAACATTTGAACCAGTTCAGAAGAAGCTGTTATCTTCAAGTATCTTATATGAAGCCTTTGAGGAAATGACCTTCAAAGTTCAGTTACCAGAAGCCAAAGGCGATCAGAAAGTAAATGCCTCAAGAAAACTAATTACTGTTGAGCGGTTCGACCTTGAAATGAATAGCACCATTATTGGGTTCGAATCTCGGAAAGGGGGAACGGTTGAGACGACCATTGAAAAGGGGTTCAGGACAGACCATGCTGACACCGACGTGGCCATCATCCTCCCTGAGAATCTCACATACACAGTGGCTACCTCACATGTAAGCATGCGAGCCAATATACGTTTTGAAAGCAAAATCCAACTTGCCTTTGCTGTTTTTAAGAATGCGAAGCTGTTCCAAGACCGGGACTCATTTCCAAATTATACTGTTAGTAGTCCTATCATTCAAGCCACATACAGGGGCGAGGTTGTGAAAAATCTGGAGGAACCAGTCACACTGATCTTCAAGCCGCCTGAATATGGAAGGAGGAACACCAAATGTGTGTTCTGGGACTTCAGCAAAAACGGCGGGAGAGGAGGATGGTCTACCCAAGGCTGCTGGAAGGGGAAAAGTAGAGGAAACCATGATGTATGCCACTGCAACCACCTCACGTGTTTTGCACAGCTCATGAATTACAACAGTGATGACTTTGACGGCAACCATGCTTTGGCCCTGGACATCATCACAATCATAGGATGCTGTCTCTCGATCGGTGGGCTGCTGCTTGTATTCACAACATTCTTCCTCTTCAAAAAGTGGCGGAGGCCCCTGGATAACAAGATTCTAGTCAACCTTTCATTTTCAGTCTTCTGCAGCATTGTTATCTTCCTGGCCGGCATCAACCAGACTTGGAACAAAATCCTTTGCAGGAGTATTGCCGTTGCTCTGCACTACTTCATCCTTGCATCATTCGGTTGGATGCTGGTGGAGGCCGTCCACCAGTACCTCAAATTCGTGAAGGTCGTGGGCACTTACATCCCTAGGTTCATGTGGAAGGCGTCGGTGAGTGCCTGGGGCGTGCCCGTAGTCCCAATCA